TCATACATGTATATATATACCCAGACACTTCCCTCCATTGCACATACAACTCCTCCTCCTCCAAAATGCAAATACAATAACGAACAATTTCTATGCTGATACTCTATATTACATATGGCACTCCGATACTATATCGTTACTCTCCATCGTTCCTCCTCCAAAGAAGAAAAAAAAACTCATACTCAATAGAAATAGAAACTCTCGAGACATATAAATTGGAAGTCGATGATGCTACGCATGTAATAGGAAAACATTTCAAGAATTTCGACGACGCCTGCTTCGACAAGGACCGTATCGCCCACTTTAACCGACTTTCGCTACCAAGCGCGACATAGTTGTGTCCGACTTATCGATGTCGTACCTCCCAGTTATTGATTATATGTGTGTAGTTAACTACCTACAATGTCGCAACAACCTTCTCAGCAAGAGCAGGGGCAGCAGCAACAACAACGGCAGTATCGCTACACTTTGACATATCCTGCCTCATCCACAACCTATCAACCAAAGCAGCAGGAATACGCTGATGGTTCAAATCAGTATTTGTTATATCAACTAACTCGCAAAACGAATTGCAAACAGGACAACTGCCGCAACAATACAATTACCTGCTGATGTGCTTACTTTTGGTGATCCGTCAACATATTTTATTTCGCAAGTGGCAGACGAACCGTCGACACCCCATCATCCGATACACTATCTATCTTGTCGTAAATCCGAGGTCGAAGATATTTTCTCACTATTTAGTAACTATACGTCAAACGTCGAATTTGCAACTGTCCTCACAAGTATCCCAGTCTCAACCAGTGCAGCAACCTCAATTGAGAAGCAGCACAATACCTGACATGTCAGTTGCCACTCCAAGACGGCAGCAGTCTAGTCCTAGACCCCAATCCGGATTGTAAATATCAGGATGTCAACTTGAACAATCGTCGGACAACAAACTTAGTCAGATCTAATCGCCCAATAAGCGTTCAAATAATTCTTCTGCGGCATCTAACAATTCGCCAATGACCAATTCGACTAGTTATAATCAGCGAACATTGTTTAATAATTTGCAACAGCCTGTTAATTTAACGAATCCGTTTGCGACAACGAGTTCTTCCGTTTCATCTACCTCTGCAATCACCGACCCCTACATAATGTGTCGAAAGCCCCTATAGTAAACAATACACCCATAACCAACAAAGCGGAGCAGAGGAAATAAAGAGGGGGTTGGCGTTGAGAGAAACGACTATAGATTAGATGTAATTTAATAATAGTAATAGATAATTGGTGGATAAATAATTGGTTACTAACAGAATATTGCTTTTTAAACTGGCTATCTAGGTGGCTACTCTCTTTTGTCTCGACTGGCGGATGGGTTCAGATCTGGATCGGGCAGCGGGCAGTTACCGGTGACGCCCCTCTACTCACCATTCTCACCAGTGCTCGCCTGCGGTGAAGGGATCTGGCGCGG